TTCTTTGCCAGTACCATGCTGTTTTTATCACAGTAGCTTTGTAGTATAGTTTCAAGTTGGGGGTTGTAATACCCCCTGCCATGTGTCTGTTACCTAGAATTGCTTTTGCTATTCTGGGTCTTTTCATGTTCCAAATGAATTTTTGGATTGTTTTCTCAAGGTCCATGAAGTATTTTGCTGGAATTTTAATGGGATTACATTGAATCTTTATAGCAGTTTTGGAAGTATGGGCATTTTCACTATGTTGATCCTTCCTACCCAGGAGCAGGGGATGTCCTTCCATTTTCTGATATCATCAGAACTCTTAAAGAATAATAATTTTTTGACCAACTCAAAACTCCTTTCAAAAGCAAGATTTTCATGCTTTATTTGTATTTCCGTATTTGACACTTAGACAGTGGATTCACACCATTGTTTTTACAGTAAATTAGTTATAAAAACATGTTAGTTACCTACTTTTAAAAATGATACTAAAGTAGTTGTCTAGGCAGCTTATGTGTATTTTATTGAGAGATTTTATTCTTAGATTTGAATAAGTACTATATTCTAGGTTGATGAATTGTAAATTTTACTTTCACATGTAATAGTTAGAAATCACAGCTGCAAAATTATATTTGATATCAGCAGTTAAGGAGGTGAGCTGCTCTGTTTTTCTTATCATTTGGCATACTCCTTAATTACCTTTTGAGTATATTTCATTTTATTCTCTTCCGTCTTCATACTGTTTTCTTCCTTACTGTGTTATTATTTTTTTGCCCTACTATCAATGACCATTTCCAGAAGGATCCTTTGAGTTTTCCTTTGAATTCCGCATGGAGAACATGAGACTAATGAGACTGCAGAATGACTGCTGGACTTGAGACAGGGAATCAGGATTTCAGTTCTGTAGTTTGCCTGGTGAACCTGACCATTTTTTTTTTCTAACTTCTGGGTCTCCATTTCCTCACCTACACAGTGGAATAATACATTCTTCCCCATAAACCAGTGGGTAAAATTGGGAAGTTAAAAGACATGAGGTGCTTATAAAAAGTTGGAAGAATAAAAAACACCCAAAGCAGTATTAAAGGATTAGTTTTTCCTTCTGAGAACTACCTATAAGCTTTGGGCAAGCACAATGTAAGATTTTGCTTTAAAAAAACACTCTTCTAACTCTAAGTAAAAAACTATTCTTCTTTTTATATGTAGCATTTCCTCTTGAAATAGAGTATCTTTGGCAACTTTACCTTAAGACATCATGTGGAAATTCCTTATATTGCATATTAGATATATTGAAAATAAAATTGTGATGTTTTGATGATTTGATAAAGAACAGCATGACTATAGTGGTAATTTAATAAGCCCCTCTCTTTGGACACTTGATGGTAATATCTTCTTTCATAAATTAGTGGTATTATTCAATAATGAATGAATTATCTTGCCCAACTCCCATCCAGAAGAGGAAACTGTAGGCGTCTAGAAGTTAAGTGCTCCAAATGACAGATATAAAAAAGCCATTTTGAACCTTATGAATAGAGAAAATGACTGTATTTGTGCTTAGTAATTATACTTGGAATATTCTGCAAATTGAAACCACTTATAAAATAAATAAATGAATAACCATTAATGTTTATTAAGCCAGTCTTTTTATTCACCACTTTCATTAAGTTTTTAATGTATTTACTTCAAATTTTGTAGTAAAACTTAAATACTATCATAATACACATCTGAAGTTACAAATAGGAGCTGAAATGGTGGTGTGTGCTAGTAGTCTTAGCTACTTGGAGGGCTGAGGCAGGAAAATCACTTGGACCTACAAGTGGGGAACATAATGAGACCTCATCTTAAATAAATAAATAAATAAATAAATAAATAAATAAATAAA